TAATTAATAATTTTTTATTAATTTTAAATACTATAAATTAATATTTATTATTCATTCATAGTTAATAATAATAATTAATATGATTTACGGTTATAATTGGAAAAAAGTATCAAAAAGTTTCTCATAAACAATTTCAAGTAGCTTATTAATAGGGATGGTAATTTGCCCCAATCCAATGGGGAACCCGGTTCACCCAACCCGACCGAGGATTCCCTGCTAAAATGGGTCCTAGGGCCGGGGATCCTCGGTAGACTCAAACCGGGGCCAGGGTCGGGACCCGGGATCCCAGTATAATCAAACTAATTAATATTATTCATGGGGTTTGACCGATGATTGATAGAGGTTTGACCGGAGACGAGATATTAATCCCCATACTCGTCGGAGACCGGGGCTGGGGGATATTACTACAAACTGGGGCTGGGGTTACAAATCCCGCCCCATCCCCACCTACTTATTAATAATAAAGCTTATAAGGTAGTTTTTGTGTATCCAAACGATTATTCAAAAAATAAACTAGCTTATTTTTACCAAACAATGCTCTCAAGAATTCCAATTGTTTCATGTTCATTTGATTAATATTTAATTGACCAAAAATGGAAAAAAGGGGCGTTCCGAGAATCGAACTCGGGACCTCTCGCACCCAAAGCGAGAATCATACCACTAGACCAAACGCCCACTTTGATTACAGAGCTTGATGTTACATTACTTGACTACAATGGTATCTCATCTCCCCTCTATATAAAGCGGGCAGGCAAGCGCACACAGTCGACCACGGACACCCTTTGTTTTATTTCCCGCGTTTCCAACATTTCCCGCTTCTCGTCGAAACCCTAACTGCGACAAATGGGGACGAAGCATCACTCTTCCGACACCGTCTCCGATCCCAAGAAGAAAAGAAGGGTTGGATTCTCCAAAATCGGTGAGTTTCCCTCTTCTTTCGCATCCTAATTACTTTGATTCACCTCTCTTTTCGCTGATTTTTGTTCACTTTGTTTTTCACGTAGATGAAGGGATTCAACCCAATGATTGCATCAAAATCTACATGGGTATGCTTTCTAAGAGCATCATAATCACTTAATTCTGTTGTGATTTCTTATAACCGAGTTATTGATTAGTCTGCTTGATTTAGTGCCGATGGTTTTTGTTCTACATTGGTGTATTGGTTTTAACAGGGAACCTTTCTGTTAAGATTTCTTCGAAATGTGCTCAAAGCTTTATTTTTTGTTTACTCTAGTTGGAGTTCATGGTAGGGTGAGTTAATTTACAGCTTGGTGAATGCTATGTACTCATTAACCTTAAGGACACATCTATTAGAAATAGCTCATTTGATCAGATGGCTGTCTACACTATTTGTATTCCTTAGGTCCCAAAATATATTTCCCCACAGTTGTAGTGACTTGTAATATTATTACACTTTTTAATTAACTAAATGATAATTGTACCCTTGATGATAGAGGGAATCTCATAACTGAGGGTAGAATTGGAAAGTAGACACTTATTGTGGGAAAAACTAAAATAGAAATGTGGACTTATTTTGGGACAGACAGTATTTTGTAGGGGGTATAAGCACTTCTATAACTTCATTTTCACCCAATATATAAGTTTCACCCATAGGTGAGATCAATACACTGTAAATTCAGTTGTCATTTCTTGTGAAAAAAAGAGTGATTCCATGAATCATACAATTGGGTTTGGAAAAGATGTTAGAAGTTGTTCTTGGCGTAACCACAATTGGCCTACTTATTTAAAATCCATGGTTCAAAACTTTGAATTTTCCATGAATCATGATGTTTATTCACTTAAAGAACAATGTTGTCTTCTTGGCTTGTTGTGCTACTCACTTTGTGGTTTATGACATCCGTGTCTTGGGTCTGTCAGCTCTTCAATGTACCTTTTGCTTCTATGTTTCTAAGTGGATCTCTTTCCTCCAGCTCTATCTAATCTCAGCTTAGCCCTGATGAAACATCGCTATTTTGTCTGAATAAACCTTTCAGTTTCTAGAGAAGAGGAAGTGGGCACCCCAGAAAGTTTCCCCATTGAACCTGTTGACCTAAGTAGCTTTTTTGAAGAAGATGGAAAAATATATGGCTACCAAGGGTTGAAGGTATTCTTTATTTTCACTAAATCAACCATTTGTAAGCTGTGACTAGAAGGGGGGGGGGGGGGGGGGGGGGGGGGGGGTTCTGGCATATGCTTCTTATATACCAGTGTATTCAGTTTTGTTGCCAGTTCCTACTTTATGGATTATATTGGTCTTTTAGGTAGTTTGTTTCTGTACTTATGTTATATTGTTATCACATAGAAATTATCGAACCTATGTAGTTATGTTTGTAAAGATATTTTATTCTGATAATTGACTAGGATATTTGTTTATATGGGATTACCCTTCTGTTTCAAAGTCACCATTTAATCTTTGTAATAAATAACGCAGATCACCATCTGGATTAGCAGCGTATCATTTCAAGCATACGTTGATATTTCTTTTGAGAGCACATCTGATGTAAGTATATGTTGTATAATATGCTTTTTGGAATCTTAAAGTGTTTATAGCCTTTTTGCTGAAAGTCTGACTTTGTGCCTTTTGATGGTTGATATTGTATGTCATTGCTAAAGGCTGGGAAGGGAATCACAGATCTTAAGTCTTCTCTTCAGGTGATCATCAAATAACATCTTTTGATTCTTGATCTTCATTTGTATGCAAATGGCACAACGCTGATGGTGACACATTTTATTCCTTGCAGAATATTTTTGCAGATAATATTGTTGAGACAAAAGATGACTTCCTCAAAACATTTTCCACAGAGAGTCATTATGTCAAGTATGATTTCACATTGATGGCTTTCCTATATTTTAGTCCTAGTGCCTGAAGCTTAAGTAAATTGCATCTTATAACCATTCCTATTAATTTTTTATTCTTGGCTGATTCTTGATGCTTGTCCATTTGCAGATCTATGATCTCAAATGGAAAAATAATTCAGCAAAATGTTCCATCTGCATATAGCAATGGGTTGAATGGGAATTTGAAAACGGTTTGTTCTGAGCTGGAGGTGCGTTTTTCACTATCTTTCTTACACAAAAGGGTCATGTCAGGTTTACCATAATTTACACGTAACTAGTTTATCAGCTAACAGCTAGCTTATTAGTCAAAAGTTAGGTTAGTAGCCAACAGTTAGCTTATTAACCAACAACTAGTTTGACAATTCTTTTGTGTGGATTCTTTATAGTGTAAGTTTTAGAGGTCTTAGATGTTCATTTTTATAGTACATTCTTAATTTTGACATGTGTTATCTACACATGCCCGATTATACGTTGAAAGCTTGAATAGTTGAATGCATGGCTTATCCTTTTCTTTTTCATTCTTCAGGTTGTTCGTGTTGAGGGCTCATCTATGGGCCTTCTTTACTGTAGATTGGTACCGCTTGTTCTTCTTCTTGTTGATGGTAACATCCATTTGCTCCCAAAATGCTAAAAAGTTATATGGCTTTGCATTCTTTCTTGCAAATTTCGAACCTAATTCTCCATTTTGATGCGGTCACAATTATATTTCAGGTAGCAATCCCATTGATGTTACTGATCCTGACTGGGAGATCTATCTTTTAGTTGAAAAGAAAAGTGATCAGCCGGACCATCCACAAAAACTGCTTGGTTTTGCAGCTCTTTACCGGTTCTTCCATTACCCTGACAGCCAAAGGTTGAGACTTGGTCAGGTATATCCCCTTTCCATAACTTCTAGACAAGTTGAAAGCACACATGTTCTCATGATCCAACTACATTTGTTACTAGTCTTTTACTAGTCCTATATGGATAAAACTATCTATGAGGAAGGTTTTTGTTTGGGAGGACTTTTTCATAGATGGAAGAAACATTTTTTTAATAGGGAGGGACGGATTTGGAAAAAACTTAGCTTTATGTAGTAAATTTCTCCCTAGAAGCTTACTAAATAAGTCACTTTCTATATAATGAAGCCACTACCAAACAGTCATCTATCTATAGTTGACCGAAAAAGCTGCGAGTCACATTAAGCTCATTAAGCTGCCAACAAACAGTCCCTTGGGTGTTATTTGTAGGGGTGTAAACGATACGAATCAATTTGCGAGCTACTCGTGATCGACTTGGTCAAAGCTCGGTCAACACTCGACTTGAATAGGCTCGGCTCGAACTCGAGCTCGACTCGACATATTAACGAGTCGAGTCAAGCTACCCAATACTCGACTCGAAAAGCTCGTGAGATACTCGATTATTTTATATATAATTAGTTTTAAAATATAATCAGTTCTTATGATAAAATATGTAAAATATAAATAATAAAAATGTCTTGTATTTTTAGATATTTAAACAAAATTATGTATTTTTTAATTATAAAAATTAATCAATTATTTTTTATTAAAATCATAATTAGAAAAAGACATAGAAAAACTATAAAAATGGTTAGTGAATTTGTCCCACATTGAAAGAGAGATGGTAAAGGAAGAGAGAAAAGATGTTATAAAAAGAGAGGGAGGTGAATGGAATTTCTAACTTTGTCTTTTTGATGATGAAGTTTGAAGTTGATCCCTTTAGTTTTATAAACACTAAGAGAACACCTTTAAGTTTTAAAAAAAATATAAGAGAGACCCTAAAATTTCATAAATTTCAATTGGTTTGAGTTTGATCTGAGTTCAAGCTTGATTTGAGTTGCAGCTCGAGCTTCTTTTGAGCTTGATTCAAGCTCGAGTTCGAGCTTGAGAAATAGTTATCGAGTTCGAGTCGAGTATAATGATACTCGAGCTCGACTTGCATCATTTACACCCCTAGTTTTTTGGTTGGTTTTCCATTAAGTTCTGTATGAATAAAGCCGTTTGTGTGGATTAATCTGTTTGTATGGATTGGGATGATTTTTGTTTAGGAGAGTTTTTTCATAGATGAAAGGTGCATGTTTTTTAACTGGGAGAAGCAGGTTTGGAAAAAACTTGGCTTTCTGCATAAAGCTTTCCTAAAAACTTATTGAATAAGCCACTTTCTATATCATTAAGCCACTACCAAAGTCATGTATAATTGACCGAATAAGTTGCGAGACCCATTAAGCTCATTAAGCTGCTAACAAACAAATCCTGAACTTTCCTTATTTTGGGCACTGTATATATAAACTCACAAAGACAATTTATCAATAGGCCATCCAAGATTTAATTAAAATAAGATGATTTATGTTGGTTTAGTATATTAAATGTTTGTTGCACTTGTCAAATGACAGATATTAGTACTCCCTCCGTACCAACACAAGGGTTACGGAGGTCGTCTTTTTCAAGTAATCACCGACCTGGCGGTTTCCGACAACGTCTATGACCTATCCATTGAAGAGCCACTAGAATCATTGCAACACGTGAGAGCGTGCGTCGACATACCTCGCTTACTCAAATTGGAAGCAATCCAACCGTCACTAAACTCAGTTGTCACGCGTCTAAAAGAAGAAAACCTAGCCAAGAGAACCCAGATCACCAGATTCGGGCCACCATCAGAAGCCATTGAAGAAGCTCGGAAAACTCTTAAAATCAACAAGAAACAGTTCTTACAGTTATGGGAGATTCTAATTTACATATCTCTTGACCCCATCGAAAAGCATCTCGAGAATTTCAGGATCATTGTGTTGGATCGTATTAGGGCTGATGTGATAGGTAAAGATACAGGTGCGGCTGGGAAACGGGTGATTGAGGTCCCAACGGAATACGATCCTGAAACGTCTTTTGTGATGTTCAAGATGAACGGTGGTGATGAATCGAAGGAAATCGAGATGGAGGAGAATGATGAAGTGAAACAAGAGGAACAGCTGCAGAAACTTGTTGATGAAAGGATTGAAGCTATAAAATTGGTTGCACAGAAGGTATCTGGTAAGAGTTGTTGAAATTTATGAAAACTAGAGTATTATTAGAATTATAATGACAATTTTCTTTATGGGTTCAGACCTCTTTAGATGTCTGTTGAGTTTGCAAGAATTACAATATGGTTTTCATGATGGGGTTTTCAGTAATTTTGCAATTGTTTCAGCATCCATTCATTCATTTCTTTTGATGCGTTTCGATATTTTTGGAGGCCCTGTTACTAACATTCGTATCGAGACTAGATCGATTGAACAGGTAATTTAAGACAAAATATAAATGGTTGTACTCATATATTATATTAAAAGTCTTACAAATTAGAGCGTCTTAAAATGACAGTTATAGGGGTTGTTTGTTTACCTCTTAATAGTTCCATTAAGAGACACTCTTTGAATCTTTAAAAAAAAATTGTCTATTAATGTTTCTACAATCCTATGAATGATTTTGTATCATAAACCTTCCTTAACCATTAGGTGTCATAGTTTCATTGTAAACAATTACCAAACGATTATATTTCCTTTTGCATTATATCATGAGATCCTCTTAATCCTTCTGATCACTTAATTATTTTGCATCAAACCATTCAGCAATTGTCAAACAGCCTCATACTTTTAATAAAATCGTCTTTCTTAAGGGGTGTTTGGTTTGCAGAACGAAATCTTTGCTTTGACCGTGAGTTCGGTCAGATGGAATTGGAATCTTTGGGATATCCCATGGACGGGTGAAATCTTTAACCGAAGGAATTCAAAGCATTTCTACATTTTCGGTATGTGAACCAAACAAATGAATTGAATTTTGGTAAAAAGAATTGACCATTCAATTCCCTTGAAATCCTTCGACTTCAATGAACCAAACAACCATTTACATTTTACGAAAGCTATTAAGCTGTCACTCACCAAATTTGCTAAGAGAATAAAAGCCTTCAACGTTATAATCAGATTAAAACATGAATAGTTGGATTAAAAAGGTTAAAGCATGCAAATAGAATTGGGTAAAGGGTAAAACATGTATAAACGATTACCAAAACTTCTGGGGGTCCTATTCTGTTTTTTTTTTATAATAGAACGGTCCCAAGTGTCTTTTACTCTTAACCTACGACTCGCTTGGGTTTCCTTCGGTAGTCTTGTCACATTCTATTGGGAGCGTTACACAATCAAGACTGAACATTACTAAAAAAGAAAGGATTGGACCGACACGAGTGAGGTATGCAGGTGAACTAATTGTGCAAGGTTTTAGGATCTTAATTTGACGTCAGTAGTTTACCAATTTTGTTGTATCTCCCTTGTTTTTGTTGGTCTAACATTCATAGACGTGCAATAAGTTTTTAGTCTGTCATGCTTTATGTCTCGCGTAACAAACTCATATCTTCTTTGGGCTCGGGATACCACAAAACGTCAAGATACAAAACAACTACCAAAGGATAACTGGCCCAGCATACCAGGTTATCGGTAGAGCCCAACATCCAAACAAAGGATAATTGGCCCACCAATACGAGGTTATCGGTAGAGCCCAACATCCAAACTAGGAGGAGTTCATCGGTTCAAACCTCACAGAGGGTAAAATATTTGTTGTATATAAATATTATAGAGAAAATTACAACAAAATGGAACCAACTTTCACCTGATTCTTATTTTGGGGAACCAACTTTCAAAATCGTCATTTAGGGGTCTCTATCAAACTTTTTATTTATTTAAGGGTCTGGTTGATTTGTTTAACAGGTAAGAGGTAATTTAAGGGTCTCTATCAAACTTTTGGTTTGATTTGCCAAATTTGATTTAAACTTTAATATTGATACGGATTGGTTGGATATAAAAATCTTGAATGTGATATTTAATATTTATTTTTTATTGCATCAATTAATTTTTTCTATTAAATTGATTTTTTTATTACATTAGCAAAAAACAATTTTTATTGTGGTAATTTAGATTTTTTTTTAAATTTTCAATTTGATATCTGAATTTTAAAAAAAAAACTAGATTTGAAATGAAAAATAGATTTTATTGCATTAATTTTTAAAAAAAACAAAATTTAGTTATTTTTTTGTAATTATTTTGCAATTTTAAATATTACGTGAAATATTAGTTTTAAAACAAAAAATTAATATGATGTGAAATATCTTAGTTGACAAAAAATCTGGATGATATCAGCATTAACAGGTCAACCAGACCCTTAAATTATCATCATTAACAGGTCAACCAGACCCTTAAATAAACAAAAAGTTTGATAAAAACCCCTAAATGACGATTTTGAAAGTTGGTTCCCCAAAATAAGAATCAGGTGAAAGTTGGTTCCATTTTGGTGCAATTTTCCCAACACTATATATTAAAAAAAGATACAGATCACCACATGTTTATATTGCATAATCAAGTAAAAATTTACACCACACAACCTCTTCTCAACCTAACAGAACCTATGATTGTACAAGTTGCCTAGATTTTGTGCACACAATAACCTTCATCCTCTGATGTCAAATTTGGCCTCCAGTTTTCAAATTCAGATCCACCAAAAACCATTTGCTTGATTCCAACATGGCTGTAAATGATACCAATAAAACATTCACAATTGGCACAGAAAAGGGTATTAATATGACATTTCATGGCAGTTTCGTCGGATCCCATTTCCAGTTCTTCGTCCCCGTTTCATACGATGAAAATTAGGGTTTCCTGAAATGAAGATGGAATCCGAGGGAGAAATTCGGAAACTTACTCTGAACTTATCTGTGTCATTGCATTTATCAATATGTCCAACAGCAAAGGCTCACTAGTACCAATATCTACCCTGCAAAAATATGAACCAATATTAAAAGTCTTGCTAAACATGGAACATTGATCCCTGTTATGTTATATTCTGTCAAGTCCAGTGTACCAAACGCATCTTAAAAGATGTAAGCAGTTGTCATTGGTCTCAATGGTACGCAGACAAGACTGGACAAAACTGGCGGGAGTGAGATAGGCAGATGGAAGGATTATGGAAGATTTAGGGTTTTAATTTGACATGGATAGTTTAGTAATTTACCAATCTTCCAGATTTTTGTTCCACCTATTTTGGTGGGACATTAAAATCCAGTTTTGTCCCACTCAATCTAATAATCTGATATCGCACCAAACGTGGGATCACAAATTTTTATTCTGACCTATCTCGTCTTATTAAAAATATAAATGAAAAACAATTTAAGAAGGGGAAAGAAAACGTTCATTTTAAGGTTCCGTAAGTATTTACCATATGCGTGCAAGGTTGTCTTGAATCTCAAGATCACTGATGTTATAAAATGTAGACGGTTCAACATTTGCTCCTTGAATATCATCATAGCTTGGTCTTTTATCAGTGGTAGATTGCGACAACTGGTAAAATTACATGCATTTCACAAATATAATGCAACTTGATGGTTGTTTAAATATATGGAATTAAAAGATTCAAACTTGAAATATATAAAAATAAATTTAGCAATTACTTGCATATTCATAGAATTGCACCCGCCAAGCCGTCCAACGATATGCCATGAACGAATTGCCTGCACATAACATATCAAAAAAATTACTGTTTTAGAAATATGTAACGATTACACTTTTTAATTAACCAAATGACAACTTTACCCTTAATAATAGATGGAGTAATGAATTTCTCCATTTCATAATTAAGTGTAGAATTGGAAAGTAGACGCTTACTTTTGAATGTGGACACTTATCTTCGGACAAACTAATAGAAATGTGGACACATATTTTTTGACGGAGGGAAAACTATTTTTCTGGAAAGAAAGTAACTTACATCGCAAATCATCTTAATGTCTTTGTCCAATGGCGCATGGTAGAACTCGATCCAAATATACGAGTTGGAGAACTCAAATCTGAAATAATTTTACGAATAACTCACTTTCTAAAATCATCTTAATGTCTTACAGATATTCTAAAAGTATTTTGTTAGTATCATGAAGAAGCTCAAGGGATATCAGTATATATATCTTCTTCATTTCGTTCATCTTCCATTTTGTAGGTTTCATCTTCATACGGACCCAAAAACATATTTTCATATCTTCTCAAACCAAATAAATACAACTCAAAAAGTGAAATGTTAATCGTGAAAAGATCGTTCCTCTTGAGTAACAAGTGAAATCGGATGATTCCACTAGAATAGGAATGATTACAGTGATATCTATCTGACTTTTGAGAGGTCAGACTCTCTCCCAAAGGCTCACGCCCTATTCATGTTTAAAAAACTCGATGTCCCTCCTACCCAATTGGTCAAGGAAGCTTTTTCTAATGGTATGCCACTAGGAATTTCTGGTACTTTCAGCTTCATGATTGTATTCCAGGCTGAACACAACATTCTTAGCACCCATTTCACATGCTAGGCGTAGCTGGTGTATTTGGCGGCTCCTTATTCAGTGCTATGATACCCCTTCCTCCTTATTTATACTCCTTTACAGTTGCTAAAAGCATATGTTAAACATAAACTCCCGTCCAAGCTAAGAATTCCCACCTACTTTCTAGACCCTTCTAGAATGCTCTTGACTACTCATGAATCACATGTACAACCACTATTAGGGGGCTATTACAATACCCACCCCCAAACTTCCATTTTGTCCTCTTTATTTTATCTTGTCCTTGATCATTGTAAGTAAGTTACATCATCTTTTATTGTTTGGTACGAACATCTTATTATGTCATGTCTCCTAGTCTTACTAAACGCTATACAGACACTAGTCCAGTCCAATCCGGTTTCTATCATGTCCGGTCTACATACCAAATGCACCCCTCAAGAACATATCAATAGTATATGACTAATTATTCTGTCCATCTACCGCCATCACTCAAAGATTACATGTAAGAAAATTAATAAAATACTTAGGAAAATGAAGCCTAAATAGATGTTGTCGGCTAGTTGTTTTGCACATATTTGTAGTGTTAATCTAATCGCTTTTGCATCTTAGTTCGGTTAATATTTAGTATAATTTTGATCGGATCCATCCTCCGCTTTATGGCTGGGTCACATTCGTGAAAGTAACAGAATTGTTGAGTTTCAGGCTGATTTTATGAAGATGGCACTCAATTCGGTAAGCAAGGATGTCGAGGAATCAAGTGGAAACGGGAAGAAGGCAGAAGAGTGAGGATGAGACGCACAGTCCGTGCGGTGAACAAGGCAAAAAGTGCACGACCCATGCTATTTTGGACAGAAGCAACGGACGGCGCATGCTCTTTTAAAGACAAAAAACACAAGGACCGTGCTCCTTGCCTGACAGCATTTTGCATATAGCCGCCCACTCTATTTCAGATAGATAATCACTTACCTCAATATATATGTTTGATATCACCATTTCCACCTTCTCTTTATGCTTTAGTTCAATCCATGATTTAATTGGTCATTTATTGTAGCATCATAATTGTTCTCATATGGTAGCTAATTCGAGTTCCATGAATGTCTTCATAAATTATCCTGTATTTTGATACATAGTTTAACTCATAGTTTATAAAAAAAAACTATCTGGTTGTAGTTCACGTAGCTCGTTATGATCTATAGCAGAACTAGTTCTTAAATCATTGCCCCTATGATCGACCCCTATGCTACAACACCCGTATGCTTGCGATTAATTTAAAACACATAAGACGTCGTTAGTGAGTCCCCTTTACTCGATTATCATTAGTTTTTAAAATTTTAATATTTCCATTTCTTGTGTTTCATTTATGTAATGTGAATTTAGATAAATATGCAATCATGGCTCTCAAGTTCGGAGGAATTAAGATGAGACCCAAATGTAAATATTCACTAAAACATGCCAGAATGAGCTATTTTTAGCCATTATAGTTGTAAAAAAATTTTCCAAACTAATCATATGAGATTGCCAAAGTAGCTCAATTCACTAAGCACATTTTAGTGTTTTCTTTTTTCCATTAGCTTGTATAATGGTTAGTTTGCAATGATAGTACAAATGCCATAATCAAGAAACCAGTTCAATCTTTATGGGTCATAAACACAATAAAATGTCCATAAACCCATTCAATATTTATGCTTACTTGTTAAAAGTCACACTCATGGGTGTCGCTGAACCGGTTTTACGGTGCAGTATCTTGTCCTTTTTCCTCCTCAGCCTCTCTGCTATCTGGCATTTCAACAAACACTTAGCATACATCCTCATTCTACAACTTCTGTATTCTGATTTCAATTAGAGTTCAAACAAACTAGCAATCACAACAAATTTCAAAGTAGGATCTTCGTTCCCTAAAGCAGATACGTAGTCGACTTTTCAGGTCATACTTATCATTTTCAACCTAACAAGGTAGCAATGCTGAAAATTTAATGAATTTGAGGTTTTCCCATGAACAGAAGCTTAACAAATCTTAGCTAATATGTTTGGCATCAGCAGCTACACTTTCACTTTTGGTGTTAAATGAGTTTCTTCTGAACAACCTTTCATATGAATTTGCATTCGGAAAATGAAAATGAAAACTCAAATTCTGAAACAATTTCTAGCCATGGTTGTGCTTACTTTATCCTTTGCTTTAGCTGGGTCATCAAGAGAAGCTCCCAAAATTTCAGCAAATTCAGGATCCCTTTCATAATTCATTTCTTCTTCTTCTCGTTCAGACCGACCATTTGGAGAGAATTCTTTTTCCACTTTATCCCAATCAATATCAGCCATATCATCATCATGAAGTTCTTCTTCATCTTCTTCGAGATCCTTAAAATGATTCAGGAAATCAGTCGATATTGGTCGTCGACCTTCATCAACTTTAACCAATAATTTGCATGGGCTACTGCGAGTGGTACGTAAATTGATGAAATTTAGAACGCTTGGAAATATGTTGTGATGATTGAATTGGGATATTGTTGAATTGAAGATTCGGGGGAATTGAATTGTGCTTGATTGTAGTACGTTCATGGTGAGATAATTGGGGTTTTAGGGTTTATCATCAAACCATCGTCAAGGGTTTTGTGGATAAAAAGTGGGCCGGAAGCTCTTTTGGGCCAAACTTATCGGGTCAAAGCCCAACAAGATAAAACTTGAGTAAACTATGATTGGGTCAAAAGGGGATTCTACCAACTTTTTTTTTTATTATTATTTTTTTTTTATTAACTTGGATATTCAACCCGTTATGTGGGCCGACTAATCCCAGAACGACCATCTGTTTTGCAGATAGACCAGAGTCATCGCATTTGAACCTCCGTGGTCACAAGGGGATTTTTATTTCCTCTTAGATTTAAACCTAGGACCTCTTGGTATTTTTAACCTTTGGAACCAAGCTCAAGCCAATCAGACACCACCATTATGGTTAATTCTACCAACTTGTTATGATCTGAGATAAAAAGTTCGTGAGTTTGGTCTTACTTTATTGTTGAGAAAAAACAAAAGAATTCCCTGCAAAATTAGAGTGACGGTTCGTTTACACAATGAAATCTATTGAAATTGGAATCTATACTGATTTATAAAACGAAATTTGTCAGAATTAGAGAATTTCAAAGGAATTTAAATTAAAAAATTGAAATGGAATTTTATCATGTTCAACCATGAATTTAGTTAGAACAAATTGAAATATAATATGTAAAAAAAATTGAATATGTATGGCAGTGGTGGTCATGGTAGTGGTAGTAGTGGCAGTTGTGTTAATACCGATGATTGTGATGATGGTAGTGGCGATGGTTACGATGGTGGTGGTGGTGGTGATCGCAATGACGACAATGGTAACATCGGTGAGGTGAACACAACCCTGATGACGGAGACAGTGGCGATATTGGCAACGACAACAGTGGTGGTTGGAGTTGATATTATTGGCGACAAAAAGAAAATCTATCTTAGAATTTCCATTATTATGGATATAATGTAACATAACTCAACTGGTTATAATTTCATCATTTGTCAGGCATCTTTATAAAAAAGTAAATATAAATAATTAGACTTGGGATCATGTGAGACAAATGGTTTTTCGTGAGACTCGTAACACCAATTCTCAACATTTGGATTAGATTTATAATCTGACAATCTGAACATTTATAAACACCACGAGACTTCTCAATAATCACAAAATTGCCATCGTGCAATTTAGACTGTTAGATCATTAACTTAAAAAGTTGATCAATGAATATAAAATGGTCTTAAGGGTCTCATGAAAAACCATTGGTCTCACGTGAACCCAACCCTAAATAATTAATGAATATAAAATATTAATTAGCATGATATACCAAGGGTGTTCATCTAAACCGCACAAAACACCCTGCATTGCACTGGAACACGAGGTTAATAAATTATGTGGTACCGTTTGCGGTTTGCATTCTTATTAAACCACACTTTGCAGTGCGGTTTACAGTTATAGAATCATCAAATCGCGGTTAGCACCACATATTTTTTTAATATATTTCAGATATATTATATATACGTTAATCATTTGCTGAATGAAAATAGTTATCACATCACTGATTATTTATTAAATTTTCAATATATCTGAAAATTCTCAAACCACATTTACGATTTAGGGTTTGGTTATAAACCGCATCAAACGCACCACGAACACCTCAATAACGATAATACATGAGGAGGTGTTTGGGATTGCTTATCTGAAACAACTTATGATTTTCTACAAAAACACTTATCAACTTATTATAAGTCAGAAGGGTTTAACTTCTTCAAAAACTTCTTATTACAGGTTTGGCACCGGTATAAGTTGTTTATTCAAACACTCAAAAGTGTTTATTACCGATGTCACACCGAAATAAGTCAATAAGTTGTTTTTATAGGCAATCTCAAACACCCCTAAATTAACATAAAAATTGCATGATCATTTTTATGAGTTTGGGCCAGTGAAGCCTATACAATATCTATGTGACCCAATCCAATAAAGTTTGGCCCAAAACGGCCCGTAAATCGACTCCGTTCATATTTATAGTTTGCCCAAAACCCTAACCCTAAAAAATTCCATCGTCCCTGCTCTGTTTTCAATCCAACCAATCGAAGCGAAATCCGAAATCAGCAAAGGACGTCAAGTTCGAAATGGGTGAGTTCATCGCTTGCAATACCTTCTTATCGATAAGATTTCTGTAGTTTCCTTGTTTCATAGCTAAAATATCGATCTTTACTCGATCAATGAAATTCGTTATTGTTTTGATTTGATCACAGGAAAGGTTCACGGATCTTTGGCTCGTGCCGGTAAAGTGAGAGGCCAAACTCCTAAGGTAGCCAAGCAAGACAAGAAGAAGCAGCCTCGCGGTCGTGCTCACAAGCGTATTCAGTACAACCGCCGTTTTGTCACCGCCGGTAAGTTTATTATATATCTCGCTATTTAATTTACGTAATCAACGTACGCTTATTTCTGAATTGAGTTTTTAAATTTGATGAATTTTGATCTCAAATTCTTGATCTTATCTTGTTGATAGAATCATAGCAGTTTAATGATCTTGTTGATCTCAAATTGTTGATATTATCGTTAATGCGAATCGATATGATAATTTTGGAGGAAGTTATTGCTTCCTTTTCATGTTATGGGATCAATGCTTGATAATTCTCTGTTTGTTCTGTCTGCAGTTGTTGGTTTTGGAAAGAAGAGGGGACCAAACTCATCAGAGAAGTAAGCTGAGGAAATGTGTAATTTTGTAAGCTTAGTTTTAATGGAATTGATTTTAGGTTTCCATCATGTTATTTAGACAATGTTCATTATGCCCATAACACCTTTTCTACTATAATCTGAAATTCCTTTCAAGGGTATTTTTAAGTTTGATATTTGATAGCATTGTTCTTGAATTTATAATGATCTGCATGTTATTATGATTGCTGTGACTTAAGCTAATTTAGGACTGTTTTTTAACAGCTTAGCTTATTCTGTCAGCCATACATGGCTCTTTGGTAGTGGCTTAATGATATAGGAAGTAGCTTATTCAGTAAGCTTCTAGGATAGAGCTGAATGCATAAAGCCAAGATTTTTTCTCCAAAACTGTTTATCCCAATTACAATGCATGCTCTTTCTATGTATGAAAAAACTCTCCCAAACAAAAATCTTACTGATGTATACAGATCAATCCATATAGGCAGCTTTAGCCATATAGGACTTAATGAAAAACCATCCAAACAGCCTCTCAATATATTGTGTTTTGCATATTGAGTTATAGATGATGTTAGAATATGAAATGTATTCTAGTTGAAGGATATGGCAGATCTTTAGGACTTGTATAACAACTGTTATTACGTTTGAATATTGTGATCGAGTGTTTGATTTCTTGAACCATAGTACTTATCTTTCAATTGCAAACCAGCCATGGTTATTGTTAAAATAGTGTAACAAAAGATACTAATTTGTCCAAAAAACATCTGTGCATTTTCCTGCTGGAAAGAAGATTTGTTTGCAATAAAAATTCAGGTATCTTGGTTCAAATGTGTTTCTCTACTGTAAATTGACCATTGGTTTGTAACTGGTTATCGATTCCAAAATGGTTCAAATGAACTCAAATTGGATATTTTTGGATTTGTAAATTCCTCTAGTTAGGGATCAAAAGGGAAGTGGGTGTGATAGATGAGGTAGACTGGCTTTTTGGTTGGTTTTCATTAAGTCTTGTATAGATAAAGTTGTCTGTGTGAAATAATCTGGCTTTATGGATTGAGAATGTCTTGTTTGGAAGGATTTTTTTATAGATGGAAGGAGAGTGTTTTTTAATTGTGAAAGACAAGTTTGGAAAGAAACTTGATTTTCTACTTAAACCTCCTCTTGGAAGTTTACCGAATAAACCACCTTTTATCATCAAAAGGTGGTTTCCTTTTATCATCAAACTACCAAACACCGTTGTAAGTTTCATTAAGCTCATTAAGCTGCCAACAAGCAGACATGTAGCTCTCTACCCAAAATACTACCTTGCTTCAGGGGGTGGGGATTTTTCTAGAGTATAATCTTTCAGGTGGAATATACTGGTATTTGTGTGAAGATAAAAGAGTTTAAAGTATAAACCATGGAATTTTTGTAAACCGTAGAAATTAATTTTAACTGTTTTTCTAGCTTTATGAATATCTATCTGGTTTCATAAATATCTGGATTATTTTTTAATCTAAAGCAATGATCATAATGATTGAACTTTGTCATTTTTCACAAGTAATTTAAATTGTTTTATAATTAAATTAGATTTTAATTACGTTCATATGGTCTATAAAAAATGGTTATGTACTTATCCAATATAATATTTTTTGGAAACCTTTTAAATGTTACAAATCTGCAATCCAATACTTTTGAAAATGATAAGTGTTCATTTATTATAATTTGAGTATTTATGGAAGATGATTAAAATTCATTAATTATAATCAACGTTTTATATTAAGAAACAATCGATATATTTATAAAAACAGATATTTGTTAGACTAGATGGACGGTTGAGATTAGTTTGTATGGTTTGTAAGATTTTCATGATTTGTATTCGATTGTAGCAACATTTTGGGATCATTCCTGTTATTTTTTTTTTCTTTTTTGAAGGATATAATATATTTAATATATGACAAATGTAACAAATAAACTCACAAACCCTGTTATTAATATTTTTTAATAAACAAGTAATTGGATATTAATGTTTGAGCACAGGACAAAAACATATTTTTATTTTACAATATCTCAAATAAACTTAATTGACAATAAAGAAAATATATGAATGTTGTGAAAAATGCCTTAAATACAATAAACGAAGTTGATTCTAGAAGCAAGCTTTTTAGAACCAAAACTAGACCCGTTGGTGCATTTTCATTCACAAAACTAGACCCCACCTAAGGGAATTAATGATAGTCTTTTTTTTTTTTTTTTTTTAATAATTAATATAGATATTCAACCCATTATACGAGCTGAATAATCTTAGGACGACTATCCATTTTGCAGATAGTCATGACCAAACCAGCCAAGCCCCGACTTGGAACCGGCGGAGGACTGGAACCGGGACCGGTAAGGGAACCATCGGTTACATCCGGTTATGGGTTTTGTCGGTTTTGTAGGATCGGGACCAGTTAAGGACCGGCCCGGTCCGGCCCAAAATGTAGGTGTAATAAATGTATTTATAATAAATTTTTGAAAGACAATATAATTTTAATCATAATAAAACGTATTTTTAAAGTATATTTGAGTGAACTAGTTACAAATTTTATAATGTATTAAAAATATATATATCATTAAAAAAATATTTTTTAATAGGCAGGACCGGTTGGGATTGGTAGTCAAGGACCGGTTGTAAAGAACCTTGACCAGTCTTACCATTTTCGACTATGACCGGTTATGAAAAAATTTGGGACCGGTTCACGGTTTTTGGCCATCACTATTCGCAGGTAGCCTAGAGTCAACACATTTGAACTTCCATGGCTACTAGAAGATTTTTATTCCTTATTGGATTTGAATCTGAGACTTCAAAACATTTTTGACCTTTGGAGCTCAAGATCAAACCAATCTGGCACCACCCTTTTGGTTAACGGTGATCTTTTTCTTGTTAGGGGGTGTTTGAGATTGCATATTAAAATAGTTTATTAACTCATTTTGGCTTGGTGTTGATAATAAGGAGTTTTTAGTGTTTAGATCGAAAAAAGAAAAGAAATACTTATATACTCATTTGACACCAGTAATAAATAGTTTTTGATAAGTTGCTTTTTATAATTTATTAACTTATTCCACTATGGTACAAGTAATAACGAGTTTTTAGTGTTTGGATGAGGAAAAAAGAAATACTTATTAACTCATTTCGTTTTGGTATCCAAACACTTTTTATAAAACTCCGGTTTAACACCACATAAGTTGGTAAATATTTTTACAAAATAAAAACAATAAGTTGTTTTAAATAAGTAAATCTCAAACATCCCCTTACTCGTAATTTCCATACCAGTTTATCTGTATCTCGATTAATTTTGAAGGGTTATGGAGAATTGACAAGTCAGTATTCCCAATTCCCAAAGAATTTGTAACAAATTCAAAGTCCAAAGCAACGGACTGACCTAATAACTTCGAATCCAACTTAAAACCATGATGTAAGTTTATTTATATTAAGTTCATAATTTAGCTATTTTTAAGGGCAAATTGCATGAAAAAGTAACGTACTTTAACTTGATTCCTATTTTGGGTAACGTACTTTCAAAACTTTCATTTTGGTACATGTTGATAGAGCAAATTGCATGAAAAAGTAACATACTTTAACTTGATTTCTATTTTGGGTAACGTACTTTCAAAACTTTCATTTTGGTACCTAAGATGTAAAGTTTTAAACATTTAAGTACCCGGGTAACTGGTTGAAATATTAACCGATTATCATGCTGATATGGCGAGTGATGTGGTATCAAACTCAGTATTATTTGCTGAYGTGGTCAGTGACGTGRATTTTTTAAAATCTAAAATTAGTCTTTTTTTAGTCTAAAATTAGTCTTTCCGGGTTACCCGGGTACTTAAATGTTTACAACTTTACATCTTAGGTACCAAAATGAAAGTTTTGAAAGTACGTTTCCCAAAATAGGAATCAAGTTAAAGTACGTTACTTTTTCATGCAATTTGCCCTATTTTTAATTGTAAAATATTTTTAAATATTTTTATTTTTTTTAAATAAAAATAAAAATTAGTAGAAAAGAATTAAAATTTTTGTATACTCATAAAACATTTAAATAATAGTATTTTATTGTAAAAAATAGCAAAAAGATTATATAGGCAATATTTTATGTTTTATTAAAAAAGAAAAATAATAAATAAATACATTATTCTATCAGTATTATAATAATAATATATTGTTGCAGTTGATTTTTTTAGTGTTCAATTAACTCACCATTTATACTGTTTTTTTAATGACTGGTTGTTTATTTATGTTGATAAGTATGTTATTTATACTTTTATCAATAGTTTACAGTAATTTACGTGAGTTTCTATTTATTTTAAAACGTAAAGTTGATAGTTTTTTTTTTAATAGAAGTTGATGGTGAAAAAGATATGGGACCATAAATATGTTGGACCATGAATTTGTACAGGTAATGTTTTGTCGGCGTTGTACTAATGCGGCAATAATCAGTAATAATACGAGGTTCTTCAAACAGTTACTCTACATCATATAAATAGATCTAACAGTGTGTAGTCTAACATGAATTCAATTAGCTTTTTACTGGTTATGTTTTAAAAAAGTATGTACTCAACGAAAAATTATAGGTTTTTAGAAATGTATGATTATTATATATTTTAATTAATTAAAGAACAATCTTATTCTTAATAATAGACTGATAATTTCTCTCTCCCTCTCTTACATATATATATATATATATATAGAGAGAGAGAGAGAGAGAGAGAGAGAGAAAAGAGGAGTAAGTTTACTTTCTAAACTATGTTATTTGTACAAACCGTAAAAATATCATTCAATTATTGTAGATGGTGTTAATCATGAATATTATCGTCTTCATTATATTAATTTTAGAAAAATACATGAAACAATTTAATTAAAATTTCATAAGTATTATATAAAACAATTTTATAAAAAAAAAAAATACTATATGAAACAATATCGTAACATTAAACAATTTCATGAAAAAATTTCATAAGATTAAATAATACAATCGACGGAAGAGGGTGGGTGGTTTGCATGGTTTATACAAATAAAAATAGTTTGCATTTGATCACTTTTCTATATATATATATATATATATATATATATAGAGAGAGAGAGAGAGAGAGAGAGAGAGAGTTGGATTCATGTGAAACCAACTTGTTTATAAGACCCGTGAAACAATTTTTTTTACACTAGAAACT